GCAGATTCATATGCCTGAATCAAAAAAGATGCAACACTTGTTGCACTGCTTTATTTTCTAAAGACAAAGTAGCAACAAAATGAGTAATGGCTTGCAGCTAAAACACACTGCGTTCGAGGATGCGTTTGGCACTGTGGAGTTTTCCTATTGACCATCGGTTGGCCTTCACAAGCTTGGCCACTTTCGCCACAGTAAATTTCCCACGGGTGCTTTGCGCCATAGCGTGCTGGATCGATGCTACTTGTGGAGTCTGTCAAGCAAAAATGTTAGGCAGCACTGCCGCACCATGAATGAATCAAGTCACCGTCCTAAAGGTCGGACAAGCAGGAATTCAGGGTTTTTTTTGTCGCACCTTTTTCCCAGAAATTTAGGGTTTAGGGTTTATTGGTTTGGGTGTTTTTTTTCCGCACCTTTTTCGTTTTTTCTTTGCGATGAGTCAGTGAGCATCATGAAGTATAAGGTGGGAGGGCTCATGGAGCATCATGGAGCATCGTCAGTGAGCATCATGAAGAATAAGGGGGAAGGGTTCTTGGAGCATCATGGAGCATCCGTTGAAGATTGACGCACAGCCATCATCCCAAGACTCAAACCCAAAGGCCCAAGACTCAGACCCAACTAATGCGAGTTACAGCCTGACACTGTTGCGCCCATGAATCCTGCGGGATGCGTTCTAGTAAATTAAGGATGTATACCTAGGCCCTAAGTAGATATATGGGAACTTATAGGAACCCATATGGGCCCAAAGCATGGGCAATTCTGATGCATGGACCCTATGAGCTAAATGTTCTGGAAGTTCAATCGATCAGTACCACGCCTTGACCTATCCCAGTCACCCATCCCTAAACCCTTAACCCCCGACACTCACATCGGCTTACGGAACAGAACTTTGGGATCCAAATTGTTGAAATAGAAGCCGTTCCGGGCTTGATATCTACACTACATGGTTACAAGGATTTGCAGGGTAAATTGCGCACTGGTCTGGGCTTTCAGCACTTGGGGCCTCTCAAAGTGATGCATCTATATGACAAGCAATATTTAAGGGGAGCTCTAAAATCCTTTTCAAGTCCCCAGATATCCCTCCCAAATGTTGAAACAACCCCAGACTGGCTAGCCGGGATGTAGGGCTTGCGGCTGAGCGCCGCGGGCTGTAGAATCTGGGGCCCTTAGGGACATGGCTCTCATGCAATACCCACTGTTGGTGGAGGAAATCTTGCACGACCCTAGAGGCTCCAACCCGAGGAACTATAACAGCTTTGACCCTAGGGAGTGCATCTGTTCATCCATAGTATTTACGCATGATAATGCTACTGGAAGAGACGTGCATGAACCAGAGAGCCTACATGGGTCCTTTGCACCGGGCTTTTCTTAAGAAATAGTGACGCCGTGGCTCCTCCACTTTATATTCGGATTTCACAAAGGAGCTCCTAGCCGAAGCACAAATCTCACAACCTAAGATTGTGCATGAGCTCAGCGCTTCCTCGCTTTTGCAGAGGCCGTCGTGCGGTTGTCATCACCAGAGGTGCATCAGGCCACTCCAAGAATTGTAGACCTTAAAGGGTCTGGGGTTAAGGGTTCTGGTGTTATAGTACCCATTGGGGTACTACTGAGGTTATATGGGGATAATGGAACAGAAAACGGAAACGCCCATAATGGGTTATATAGGGTTTAGAGTCAAGGGTTCATACTGGCGGCAATCATCCCCTCCACCCCTAACATTAGCTATGTCCCCCCCCAATTGTCTCTGACCGTGAATGTTTAATGTTAGGGGTGTTTTCTATGAGTATGAAGAGATTAAGTCAAGACCGTCCTGAAAGGAAGACTGAGGGTCCCTACCGCCAGAAAGCTTAACGTGCCCTCCTGAAAGCAAACGGAGAGCCCAACATTGACCAGTTTGGGCTGCACAGGTCTTTGTAGGACCTCCTGCTTCCTGTTAGTGGAGGGAGGGTGGGGCTTTCCGCAAGCATCTAATAAATCAAGCAGGTTGGGCAATGGCTGGCTGGGCTCTCTATCATGATCGCCTGCGCGCCAGAAATGCCCAACAGCTTACAATGAGTATGTGAGAACCCTTTTAGGACTAAGCTCTACCAACTTAACCGTCACCAAAATAAACGGAACCTGGGAAGGGGTGCTTTGATGGGTTTCCCTTGAAACTGGACTAAAAGATGGGATTGCATGTACATCATGTGAGCCCAAGGGAAGGAACCCCAAACTACACGACATTTGCATTTTCACATGTGTAGGTTGTGGGGCTCGAAGCATGCCCTATGATATTGACGTAGCGTCCTTCCACAGTCCTCTTACGCCCCTGAAATGCTTCATCGCGCGCCTATGGGACACTGCAGGATTGAAGCTCGAGCATTTGGCTTAGGATGCCTGAAGTTCCATGCCCCAACTCCAACACCACTAAGCCCTGAGACCCCACGTCCAAAAGCCAAACAAGCACGTGCTACCCTAAACCCTAAGCCCAAACCCTAAACCCTAAACTGAAGCACATCAAAGTACAGCGCCTACATGCAAAAAAAATCCTTGCACGACATGTAAAGCAATCGAGATGAAGCGCAACCCGTATAATGTAGACAGATTCCTAAACCCTCTCCTTTTTGGGCCTAAACATGAGGATCCCTATTACAATCCCTTTTCAAGGGAGGGGGGCCAAAAATCGCAGGTCTATAAAAACAAAGCACCCGGACCAACCCAACACTGGCAAGGAGCCGACTTTCTGGATGCACAGGGACAGGGCCTGGCACCAGCGCACTGCGTTGAGGTGAAGGATGGGACCCTTGAGGCATGTAGGAAGTGTAAGGAGGAGGCTGCAGGTCCCCCTGAACAAAAACGATATGTCTATATATATATATACACATACATATACAGTTCACTGTTGATGCTATAGTTCCTGTCCTGCACGGCCCTTATCACGCTGAACTTTGGGAGCTGTGGAATCTAAGCATCACAAGGTCAAGCAGGGTGTCTAGTCTCAACCCTAGGGCATCATATAGCGAAGTAAGTACAATGTGTAGAGTGTAGGAGTTCGAACTTAGACGTATGGCCCATGGTTTGAGAGGGTAATGGGCCCAGCATGGGCATGCCAGAGGTATTACTCTGCTTTCCCGATCTCAGTAGTTGTGTCAATCCGAGGCGTCAGCGTAACAAGGAGTATCAGCATGCCTGTAAGGTGGGAAGTTGCGTTTCAAGACCTGAGGATTTGTTTTCTCCTGCCCATAGATGGCTTATCATCACCTACCATCCAACATTTCAGAACAAGGCATGGAGGAGGGAAACATAAAGAATGGTCTCGGCTTTACGACCCGGAATGGCCTCACTTCACCTGAAAGCTTCTGTGCCAAAATCTCATATAGCAATAGTAATAACAGTATGCCAGCCTTCTTAGCCCTTGGGCTCTACACCTACATCAGGCCTATCAAGCAGCACCTCTATTAGACTATTCATGGAGCCTTGCAGTAAGTAGCGGCAAGCAAGCACCTCTAAGCGTTTCTCCTTACGCCCCGACCAGCTTCTACAGCCTAGTATGACTTCTTGGGAATAGGGCCCTACGGAAATCTTAGGTAAAAAAACATCTTGAAGTAAATCAAAGTTCTTCAAGGGCCCGGAACTTGTTGTGGCAAAGCAGCCTCTCTATATATCTAACGTTCCCTCTATACTCAGAAGATCACATGCCCGAGCTGAATTCTCAGCCATATAACCTCAAACGATGTAACCTTGGAGCCTGTAGACCGCATTGCTCGGCACAGCACTTTGGGGTACCCGCTTGACGTTCCTGTGTTTTGGTGGGAGTTCACACTCCCAAAGCAAGACATTCAAGCCTGTCTACTTGTCTACTGTAGCTTACTTTCGGTTCGATTTAAGGAAGGCGACGAACCTCGAGGATCTTCAGCAGGTCAGGCAAACTTCCCAAAACCGCGGGGAACAACCTACCATGGAGCTCTCAGCACTACCCCTAAGTCAGGTCTTAGGGTCTAAGACAGCTCTTGAAAATGCCACAGCTCTTGAACATCCCACAGCAACTTGAACCTTGAGCCCCTAGAACTTTGGTCTTGAACACGAGCCCTCTGACCAACACCCGGCGTCTCTGCAAACAGCAATCAGACAATTCATCTACACCCCACACCCACATCGGAAGCCCTAAGCCCCTGAGGCCTGAGACCGTTGATCAATAAACCCGGGGTCTATCCCCAAAAGAGTTTAGGGTTTTCAGTAGAGTCCAAACACCAAACCCTACACTGGCCCTAGGACCAAAACCTAAAGCTCACAGGACGCTACGGGCGCCGGAGATGCCTTTGCCGCTGCTCTGTTGGCATCATGGGTGTCGTTACCTGAGCTTTTTTGGAACGGATTTACGGGTGGGGCAGTTTGGGGGTTATATAGGGATTAAGTATGGATTGTATAGTCGTAATGGGAAAGAAAATGGAAGCTACTGTTGAGGGTTTAGGGTTGAGGGTTTAGTGTGTTAACCACGGTATTTGATAAGTGTATACAGGTCTGTTTCCTTCTTTAGATTTGGGTGAGTGTGTGTATTGGGTGCCGATCAGGGTGGGTCACTTGCTTGGCATGGGCGGGTGCCTTATGCGTCCTGCTTGTCTGGTAAGCCAAGTATAGTTCACCAACCAAGACTGTGTGGGGAAATATAGTGGCTATATAGGGACTAGGTATGTATTAGAAAGTAATACTGGAACAAGAGAATTGAAACTACAACTTAGGGTTTTTGATTTTTCAGTTCCCTCCTCCTTCCTGCAAAGGGCGCGTTCTAGTTGCCGCTTAGGAACACTCTGTTTTTCTTCCTAGCGTCTGGGTGGCCTCTCTAGGCAGGGTTTGTGGGTGGAGTTTAGGGCTCTAAAAGACCTACATACCAAATGCCCAGAGATATATGCTTGAGATCAGAAGGTGGGTAGATGGGCACTGTATTTACTGTGGATGACCCCTTCATTCTCTTAAACAAGTGGCGTATCCTTTACACGTGTGTAGCCCGGAACAGTTTGAGTTGCTCAGGGTTTTTCCTAAAAATGTCTGGATTAAGTGCTCTAGCAGCAGCGGCGGCGGCGGCGGCAGCGGCCACCCCTCGTAATCCGACGTCGAAGCAGATACACAGAAGTTGCAGGGTAAGGTTCCCTGTGGCACCAGTAATGTAGAAGCCTGAGTGATTAGGGACACTGTCATCCCAGATTTGTTTCATAATTATGTAACACGGTACCCCAATCTCAAGAAGACCTCAAACAATATTGGCTACATTTCGGGGCTCCATAGCATGCATTTTGTCGTCGGCCTTTGCATGGAGAAATTTGTTATAGGCACTACCTAGGGATCAAAGAAGTAACAAAGGACAAGAACAAAGATGGAAACTGCTATTGAGGGTTTAAGAGGTTCTCAGTGCCTCGAGCTACACAGGGTCCTACTCAGGGTTTAGGGTTTTGGCAAATCAACTTGAACTCCCAAGCCTATAAAGCATGTAACATGGTCTGGTTGGAAGACGATAATAAATAGTGGATGCAGTCATACAAGATGGTGGCCCAGCGTATTCAGGAAACTTGAATTTGAAGAGGATACCTGCACTGAATTAGGTGCAACGTTGTGCGGTGGCATAGCTGCTCCACTCAGCAAGCATAGCCTAGAGACCTGAAGAAGGAACCTCATCCCCCCATTCTCCTCATGCTAAGGGGCAAGAATTGCTAGCTGCTGTGTGGAGCTTCAACTGGTGTTTTTTGGTACGGCTTTGGTGAGTGTACTGTCTTTTGGGTTTAGGTGAGGTACACTTTCTGACTGAAGGCTTTGTTGTTTCACATGGGTTTCGCCTACAGAGCAAACTTCGAGATGTGCCACTTTCTCCGAGTCAGAGTCCCCAGATGGGCCGAGCGTAGTGGAAGCAGAGTTGTTATTACTGTTACTAATGTTACCATGGTTACCACACTTATTGCTATGATTACAGAAAGTGCTCACTCCTGATTGTCTCTGTTGGCGTAGAGCAAGTGAGCAAGTTGTACAGCCTGATGGACAGGTGCGGCACGCCTCTGGCAGAAGCTGTCGCAAAAGGCCTCGGCACGTCAGCGTTCAATTGCTGGTGGTTAGTAGGGGATGAGGGAACATAATCCCCACATAAAATGTACACCTTTATTCCCTACTAGCCCCCAGTGAGTTCAATAGGCTTGAAAAGGAGCAACGTACAAGCACTTGTCCCACATAAAAGCATCCTTGGCGACAAAAGCAAAAGGGTCTGATGATCCGATAATCTGAGATTGTCATTTTTATTGTTATTTTTGTTTACTATGACTACTACTGTTCTTGTTCTTGTTACTGTGGAAAGCATGGTTTTTTGGACAAGCCAGTCTACAAGAGCTCTGCTGCAGAAGGCTTCCTTTTACTGAAATGAGTTGCGGATACAGTGCCATGTAATTGACCTTCAAGAGGAACCTATTCAAGATCTGAGCTATAGTCTAAACTCCTTAAAGGGGGTTAGAGAGGGGATAATGTAGGGAATTATTATAGGGGCTACAAAGGGGGATACTAGGAGTTTAGACTATGGCTCATCTTGTTCTGACGCATGTAGGAGCAGTATGCGCTGGCGCTCCGCCGCGGTATCAGGTCAGCTAGCTGCATGATGAGCATCTACATCCGTACAGACACATGAACTCCTGAAACGCTTCTTCAGCTCAAAGAGAGATGTATGACTGTTGGACAAAGAATGAACTTTCTCAATCCTTCGGGCCCCTGTACGGGTTCTCAAAACTGAACAAGGTCCTTGTACATACTTAATAATAACCCGAACGGCTCACATCCCATGCAATCCGCAGGCTGAATCCCACATCCCTTAAATAAAGCCGGAAATGCAAAAGCTTCATGCAACCTACGTTACTTGGAATGCTAGAACGTTGAGAATTCCACACTGCCCTCACAGCTCTATTCTATGCCCGGTAGCCTACAGCCCGAAACCCTATGTGATGAGCAACCCCAACTCTTATGACGTCCATTAAGACTGCTCACTTGGAGGGTCATGGGGACTTAGTAAGTAGGTTAATCGACCCTAAAAGCCATATGATAACCACGATTATCCCCATTATTAATATTATGAACCTACTTACTAAGTCTCCATGCCCCTAAATCCTAAACCCTAAATACTATGGTAGTTTCCATTTTCCATAATTCACCTACTTACTAAGTCCCCATGCCCCTAAATCCCCAACCCTCAATACTATAGTAGCTTCCATTGTCTTTTCCATTATTCACCTACTTACTAAGTCTCCAGGCCCCTAAATCCTAAACCCTAAATACTATAGTAGTTTCCATTTTTCTCATTATTCACTTACTTACTAAGTCCCCATGCCTCTAAATCCTAAACCCTTCATACTATAGTAGTTTCCATGTTCTTTTCCATTATTCACCTACTTACAAAGTCCCCATGCCCCTAAATCCTAAACCCTTACTGAGTCCCCATGCCCCTAAATCCTTACCCCTTCATACTATAGTAGTTTCCATTTTCCCATTATTCACCTACTTACTAAGTCCCCATGCCCCTAAATCCTAAACCCTTACTGAGTCCCCATGCCCCTAAATCCTAAACCCTTACTGAGTCCCCATGCCCCTAAATCCTTACCCCTTCATACTATATTAGTTTCCATTTTCTTTTCCATTATTCACCCACTTACTAAGTCCCCATGCCCCTAGATCCTAAACCCTTCATACTATAGTAGTTTCCCTTTTCTTTTCCATGAATCACTTACTTACTAAGTCCCCATGCCCCCTAGATCCTAAACGCTTCATACTATAGTAGTTTCCATTTTCTTTTCCATTATTCACCTGACTTACTAAGTCCCCATGCCCCTCCAAGTGAGCAGGTTGCGCAGCCGGTGCATTGAACTGCGGACGCCTTGGCGGCTGCGAGAGCCCTGTCACTGTAGCAGGGCCCTCAGTCGGGATGTTGAAGGGCATAGGGTTTTAGGGTTTAGGGGTTTAGGGGCTTAGGGTCTAGGGTTCAGCGTTTAGGGATTTTGCAGGGCATAGGGTTTTAGGGTTTAGGGGTGTAAGGGCTTAGGGTTTGAGGTAATGAATACATTGAAGAGCCGCGATTTTTCGGAGAGTTGCGCATACTTTCTAGGGGTTTTGTATGATCTACAGAGAAAGTAGGGTGTCCCAAGGGGTTGTCCTTAAGAGGATCAGGCTCTGTATGCTCCGTTCACATAAGTATTGACATGCACTTATGTTCCTTGGGGTCGGATTTTTTTCCTGGTTTCTGTCCTGTTATACAGCGGCAGCCTCCGAGACCAAAAATCCTACGGTGGATACTAAAAATCATGCATTACCCTAGGTACCATAAACCTTGGGAATTATGGTACCATAGTATACAAAGGTCTTGTAGGATGTTCAGTATCAACAGTATCCCGTCTGTTTGGGTGAATCCTCAATTCAGCGCTTTGGCTAGCAGGGTGGCTGCAGCACTAGAATGATTTTCAAATGGATTTCCGGATCCCACAAACATCTCACACCGCATTGTATGAGTCTCGCCCATTTCAGACAAGCCTGTACAGACCTCAGTGGGTGCAGGACTTAAGGTTTAAGACTCTTCATCGAAGATTCTTCTTTGAAGTGAGAACGACGAAGCACGCAAAGCCATCGTAGACTTAGTCCGACCATAGCCTCATGAGTACACGTGCTATGCTGTTAATGGGTGTTTGAGTTTAAGATATGGTAGTTTCCCTAAATAGGGGGACCCAATATAGACCCCAAAATACTTTAATCCTTACTAATGGGGACCCCCAGAAAGGTACTCCTAATTTGGGGAACCCCTAATCCCAAACAATATCAAACCCTAATCCCTAAACCATCAACCCTAAACCCTATATCTCCCATAGTCGGCCTTACAGGTACCCCGAGTTTTGGGAACCCCATTTAAGTTCCTCAACAGCAACCTAGGGGTTTTAGTATGCAGCGGCCCAGGAGAGGAAGCCGGGGGCGCAACTACTAGCCTGTCAACTCTCTTCCCCAATAACCAGGGCTAAAAAAGTTTACGCTTTATTATAGAAACCTTAAAGAAAAAGGAAGCCCAAAAAGGTTAAAGTTCTTCTATTGGCTAAGTAAGTCGACTCGACTACGAAGGTTTAGGTTTTATGGCTTAGGGTTTAGGTTTTAAGGTCTTTTTAGGGTTTAGGGTTTAGGTTTTTAGGGTTTAGGTTTTCAGGTTTAGGTTCGAGGGCTTAGGTTGGAGACCCTGCAACCATGTATTTCTTAAAGTATTTATAGGATTCTATAGGGATTGTATGAGGATTAAAGTTAAGAAGCCTCAAAATTGTTTTCGAACCCACCCCCTGTAGATCCGACCAGCAGACATAGGGTTGTCAATTCCTTCAACCCAAAACCCGGAAACTGGGAATGTCAGGAAAACTTAGGCCTGGTAGGTGTATTACGAACACGAGTGTCATCAAAAAAATTGTAGTCCCCCTAGACCAGCAATAAATTAGGGTTACACACAATAAGCTAAATGGAAAAACTAAGGAAATAGGAGTAATAGTAATGGTACGTAAGGGAGAACCTAAACCGTAAACTCGAAAAACGGCTGTTTCTGTAAACTGGGCCCCCCAATAATGCGTCTCAATCATCGTTCCGTGGGCTCCCACAAGGAGACCCCTAATACTGAAAATCCCAAAACCCTAAACCCTGACACCCTAACCCCTCCATGACAGGTTCAAGCCGAGGTCTCATGGGGAGTCAGAGAAGGGG